TCTAAGAGATTTGTTAGGAAATAAGGAGAGCTCTGAATATACTACTTCAAAAAGCAAACAGGGATATCTATCATTTCCACAAAACAATGGGAAGGTGAACTATGTGTGCCTTAGGGCCCCAACGCTTCTTTCTGACAATTTATATACCAGTGACTTCAATCAGCTTTCTAGTTCAACATTACGAAAAAGGCTAAATTCAAGTTGAAATTCTCAACTTCAAGCACTTATTTAGCCAAATAACATAAGCCTTCTTAATATGGCTTTGGGGTTTAAACAAAATAAGCAATGGTTTTCTGCTGCATACATTTCCAGGCAGCTTTATCTGTGTTAAAGCAATAAAGCAAAAACACCTTATACTCTTATAATATTATTAAAGCATAAACGTTCATGGAATACAATCTCCTTGGATCAGACCCATGGAACTTTGTCGTGAGAGAGAAATATTATTAGATGCTTCCCTGTCAGTGGGGAGGGAAAGAGGGTAAAAAAAAACCTTCAAAGGGAAATGAGATTTATGAAGTAGATAGTGAATTGTATCTATTCATAGTAACTACAGGAAAGTCTTAATTTGACAGATCTCAATGCAGTGGGTTTTGGATATAAAAGACAGAATCAGAATTTCAGGCAATAATAGACCTTCTCCCAGCAATGATTTAAGACTATTTATGGTACTAATCAGTCCAAACAATTTTTATACATTTTATGTACTTTTTATATTATGCACATTTTATCTAGATTTTACACACTATGTACATTTAATCCATTGCTCAACATTCCATCCATCATTTATTCACTCACCTCTAGCAGACACTCCTTCCTCCTGGCTAAAGTCAAGAATTTACTGTACTAGCAAAACAACTGCTGGATTGTGAGATGTTCATTATTTTGATTGATATGCTATCTAATGCATATAGCGTGATAAAAAAATGGTCCTTTTCTGACACGGCTTAAAGATGGCTTATAACCATACCTGTTTGAAGGATATTAACCACCGTTTCCTGTTCAGACATAATGAAAAGCTATGTTCAAGGACAACTTGTCAATTTGTTTTTTCCACTTATGAAAAGAAAGAGGCACGGATGGCACAAAGGTGCCTATTATTTGTATACATATTCTGGTACATTAATTCGGAGCGTGGTTTTTCAAATACCTCAGGATGTGATGAACCCCTGGTTCTTGAATTAGAGAAGACAACAATTCTAATGGAATACCCTATATTAATAAAACTTTCCTCCATTATGTAAACGATTTCCAATCTATTCATCTTTCAGTCTGCTGCAGAGGTGGGAAGAGCTCTGATCAGAGAAACACTCCCCTGTACTTCATAACAAAGTACCACTTCAAATCACCTCAACAAGGATTTTAAAGACAATTGCTAGACAATTTTAGTATTCTAACAAATACTACACATCCATCAAGCTATTTCCTTTCAAAGTGCCGCTGACATCCTTCATTCTATCTTTGCCTATTTGTTTCTCCTTGCAACCAATCCTTGCCTTTATCATGTTCATATTCCACTTCATATATTGTTTTTTGTCCCTTAAACCTTATCGTCCTTTTTTCAGGGATTTCATCAGCTGCACACAATCATAATGTACTTGGCCCTTGCCTTCTTCTCAATACATTCACCTACTTAATATATTTGCTTTGTGATTTGATTCTCATTCAGTCTCTCTATATGATCAAATCTCCACTTACCTCTTTTGTATTAATTCTTCACTTTTTCATTTTTTCCACATTCATTCATTCAGCACTTAAATCATTCTTGACCTGATCTGTTTTTTGCCTTACCACAAATTTAAGTACTCTATTCCTATTTCATTCAATTTACCTTTATATTTGCCCTGCCATAGTCAATGCTCGCCTCTATATAAAAAAGTGAGTGGAAACACACTTTTATACACATTTTTGCTTCAGTTGGGAAACACTGACTTCAAAAGATGGCTGCTGACTCTTTCATGTGTACCAATCTATGCACATATTTATCCATTTCTTTTCTATCATGGTAGCTGACAAATTCAAGTAATAAACACAAGCATTCCTTGCGCAAAAGTGATGTATCTACCATATAACTTCAGGTTGTATGCATTTATTGTTTGTTACATATCAACTTCCTATCACAATCATCCAAAAGGTGATTTTTTTTAAATTAATAAATAAGCCCTTATAGAAGACAAGTAAAAGACAAAGTAGGAGATATAAATGTCAATTCATCCAAATAGCAGCAACCTGCAGCTCAAAATGCCTGGCAAAATAAAATGCCATTTAAAGAACTACCAATTCTCGTTTGGCAGCCATAACAAAAAAAAGGTCAAATCTTATATCACTTCACCGAGCTCCATCACAGCTCCTGAAGAAAATCCTATCTTTTTCTCATAGTGCTTTAATCTTGCAAGTCAATTAGAACAAGGGTCCCCCAACCCCTAAGCCTGTTGGGAACCGGGCCACACAAGCAAGCAAAACTTCAACTGCGCATGCATAGGATTTAAATAGCACATGAAACCACATGATCCCAGGTCCGTGGAAAACAATTTTCCTGTGGAACCGGTCCCTGTGCCCAAAATATTCAGGGCTGCTGAATTAGGATATAATCGAAGTAATTGAAATATATGAGTAAGGACTAATGTTATTTAAAGCAAAAAGAACCCCTTCCAAAATTAATTTCCAGAATGGCAGCTAACTTTGTTATTTGCAATGAAGAAATAAAATTTCTCAAAAATTAAAATTATGATATGGTATTTGACAATCTCAGTAACAATCTCTTGATCCTACTTGATGAATGCCAAGAAACCAGCTTTTTATATAAAGGATTTCTGGCCATATTTCTGGTCCATGATACAAATTGCCCATCCAAACTTCTAAGAGATTGATACAGCTGCAACAGAAAATGAACAAAAAATCTAACAGACCCATACACCTCCAAAACCCCACAAACCTAAAATTGACTACACTGGCTCAGGTGCAAGACTGACTAATTTCTAGCTTGCTGAAAGACTATGATTATTAAACGTATTATTAGACATGCCTTAGAGTGATAGATGAATACAATCTTTTCACTTCCCTACTGCTGCACAATGGAGCAGTAACTTTCTTATAATGGTCCTTCATCTGTATGGCCCCAATTCTGCTTCTATTCGCTGAACTGGTTTTTTTTTAAAAAAACCATGGCTTCATTATATTTAACACAACATAAACAAGTTTGTTCTTGACTTAGCAAAGTTCACTATAACAAAATGTTTTTGAGAACATCAGCTGTGCACTATTTTCGTGCTATCCCAATTAACACATATACTAATTTACAGATGCAAATTTCCCATGACCTCAAAAGACTCCTACAGTAGAATAAAAAGGAACAATTTTGAAGAACAGAAGTCCAGTCCTTCAAATATTCACATCTTTCAGAGCTGGGAGCTATGCCTAAAGTCCTCTGTAGAGCTAGCATTTTACTGAATTTAGAGAGTCCAGCGAGTATTATGCTTTATTGATATATATCCCATCTTTCATACAGAAGTTCAAAGTGTAATGCACAACACTCTTATTTTTCCCCACAACAACCACCCTGTGAGGTGGGTTGGGCTGATATAGGATGTGTAACTGACCCAAAGTCATCCAGGAAGATTCTATGGCTGGCAGAGTTAAAAGTTGGGCCTCCCTGAAGTTAGTCCAAACTTTAACTGCTGTGTCACAATACTGTCATACAGGTAGTCCTCAACTTACAACAGTTCATTTAGTGACCAAAGTTATAACAACAAAGGAAAAAAATGACTTATGATCATTTTTCAAATTTACAACCTTTGTAGCATCCTCCATTTTGATCATGTGATCAAAATTCAGATGCCTGGCAAATAGTTCATACTTATGAGCGTTACTCTGTCCCAAGGTTATGTGATCACCTTTTGCAATGTTTTGACAAGCAAAATCAATGGGGAAGGCAGATTCACTTAAAAACTATGTTACTAGATTGTTGGGAAAAATATACTGACTCTATAAACAACTTAGAGAGGGCTGTAAAGCACTGTGAAGTGGCGTGTAAATCTAAGTGCTATTGCTACTAATTTATTAGCTGCAGTGATTCACTTAACAACTGTGGCAAGAAAGATTGTAAAATGGGGCAAAGCACACTTAACAATGTTCCACTTAACAGAAAATTTGGGCTCAATTGTAGTCATAAGGCAAGAACTACTTGTACTGTATCAGCAACCTTTTGATGGCTGAAGGTGCAGTTAATGGGGCAATAGGACCACATGCCACCCATGGAAGGATCAAGATTTTCTAAATGCGTCTTCTATGGTGTGGGAGAAGTGTTTTCTTTTTCTTCCCTTTTTTAAAAAAATGATCATAAAGTAATTACAGGGGCTGTATTTCAGTATTTGTGTTGTGCATTCTCCACTTTACAGTAGCAGGAAGTTATAGTTCTGATTTTCAGTGAGATAGTAACTCAGAAAATCAAAAAGGAGATTCAGGAATCATATATACCTCTGAACTTATAAGCTGCCTGCCCTGATGTACAGGGCAGCTAATTTTCCTATGGTTGCATAGTAGTCAATAAATGATGGAGTATTCAGGAAGCATCAAAACCATAAATCACTTCGCTTCATTTATATCATGCACTACTTGCTTCAAAATTCTGGTGTGCAGTGATAAAGATTAAAAAATATATAAAAATTTAAAAAAAATACTAAATGAAAACACAAGTAGCAAATAACCTATTTTTAACATATGTAACATATATTCTTATTTCTTCTGGAGTTAATTCAGATTTGGATTGTGACAAGTAATCCTCTTTCCAATCATCTTTATTACACATGTGATGAGTAAAAAAAGTTAAGAGAGCAATCCTGCATGTGTCTATTTAGAAATAAACATCACTGTGTCACAGGGTGCACATAAACACTCAAATACATTTGGACGCATTTCGCTCTATTCTTTAACCATCTATATAATAAAAGAGCACTGTGGGGGGGAAAGTAAGTAAAACAGAAACAAAGCAGTTAACTTACATTTTGCTTCTGAAATATTCTGATTGGGTGACCAAACCAGCATACCGAGATTCTCTCTCTCCTGAGATCGCTTGGTAAGTTTAGCTGACAAGAAAATAAGATAGAAAAGGTGTTAAAAGAAAACCTCCCCGTGTTCATCCCCTCAAAGCACATAACAAAAGAAACAGGAATAGAAAAATCCAAAATGCTGAAACACAGATGGTACCATCTCTGCAAGATTTCAGACCAAAGCATCTTTTAATTCACACAAATAACCAAACTGTGTTTTCACAGTGTTTTGGAGGAACAAATGAAGATGATAAAAAGGGGAAATGTTTTGCTTTGTTTTAAGTTTGTGCATTTCTCTTTTCTGCATTGTATGGAGATATCCCCAAGACCCTCTGTTAAATTGCAGGTATGCAGTAAAGGCTGCTATTTTATTCGTCTTGCATTGCTGGCCAAGGGGAAAACAGAAAGACGGCAAAGACAATACCACCTGCATTGTGTCAGAACAAACAGCCAGATCAGTTATTAACACTGGCAGCGCCAGTGATCACAAAAATATAGATATTCAGGAAACTGCCTTATACTAACTCAATCCCCTGGTCTACCTAACAGAATATTTTGAACTACATTCTTGTTACAAGGTTCCTTTTTTAAGCACCTATAACTCTTCTCCTTGTTGTTTTGGGGAAGAATGTGATGAAATGCACAGACACTGTGCAAGTATCCATACAAAGTTCTGCCCCTTCCTGAATGTGGACGAACAAACAGCGGAGAACATAAGCATAGCATATTCACTAACTGTTCTAAAGAAAGAAAGAAAGAAAGAAAGAAAGAAAGAAAGAAAGAAAGAAA